GTGCACGCACCTGGCGGGCACCAAAATGCGAGCGAGCATGCATTTCTGTTAGACGGCCCAAACCGCGGTTAAATGGACAAACACATGGGAATCGTGCATGCTCGCTCGTTTGCCAGCCGTTTGCTGGAATGCGTGCTCGCTCGACTTTTGCTGTCACCCAGTGTCGCAACCCGCAGAACAAGCCAGCACCGACGCCGCGAGCGAGCATCCAAGGCGACCATGGCAGCCCGCCCTTGGCTAGAAGGGCGGCTACAGAAGCTGCGAGAGATCCTTGGCCGCAGTTCTCCGGGTCCCCGGGCCCGAACGTGCTCGCTCGATTGCAACGTGCTCGCTCGATTGTGACCGTGCTCACTCAGTGTGGCCAAGTTAGCCTAAAGCCAAATCTAAGGCTTGTGGATACAACAGAGAGAGATGAGCTGCTGAAGAACATCCTCAAAAAATAGAATATGTCGACACCTGCTTCCAGAACGGCAGGCCCATCGGTATGTTGGATGTGACGCAAGAAGCTTGGGAGGCCCCCGCTTAGATACAGCATCATGCTTTACATCTTAAGACTTGTCAAGGCTGGCCTCTGTTGTGCTGCGACATTAGTGTGCTGTCTGGCAGGATGCATTGCACAGCCTTCGTGCAACGGCAACTTCTCTCGGCCTCAGATTTCGTCCAAGACTCTTCGGCCGTGCTGCTCCCGCTGAAGAAAGCCTAGACGGCGCCCAGGCGGAGGCAGCGGCTTCGGATAGCAGTTGTAGTCCTGGGCAAGACTACAGCAAGTACGAGACCGTCTACTTGTCCTGCAACAAAGCCGTGAAGGGAGTGCTGCAGCTCCACAAGGCACAGACGTTGGGCAAGCTGGGTTTTCGCATTGCAACGAAGCATGTTTCATTCAATGTCAATTTAATGAATCAGAAAGAATCATGCTGGAACCCACGTGCAAAAGGTGGTGGATCAGCACGTCCAGGGTTACAGAGTGCTCTTCCGAGCAGAAGAGCTGTGGTCGCTGACCAAGCGATCTCAATTTTTCCACAACTGCTTCTCCAAACTGTGTCCAGTCTGCAATCGATCTTGGCCTAGGTTCTGCTTGCTCCCTACCCGAAACCCTTACTGTCCCAACTCTAGCCACATTCTCTGATCTAAGGCAAGAGGGACTCGCGATGGATATTGCTGAGGCTTGGAAAGTTGACTTCATCAACGTCCACTGCATAAGGAAAACTTCATATCGGGGGCAGAACTCCAACAAAAGCCCTGATCGCATCCGCCTGCCCTTCGACGGGGTTACCTTTCCGGGGGCGATTTTCCTCGTGACTTGTCTGCAAGATCTTCGTGCTGACTTGTCGTCCCGAAAGAAGTATGTTGAACTGATTTGCAGTCTCGAAACAGGCCTCGTACGTCTTGCAGGGCCGAGGCTGCAAGCCAGAGATACAAACAGCTGCCTTGAAGACCTTGGATGTCATCTTGGGAACCACTGTTGTGGGAAGCCTGGAACTAGCTTTGCTCGCCAAGAACGAAGCATGTCGCCGGGCTAAAGTTCCTAGCACCTTAGATTCTCAAGATGCTGCTGCTGCTGCTGCTGTCGCTGGTTTCTGACGCGACATCTGTACTCGGGTTTTATCTCAGGTTTGCTTCCAGTCCAGAATGGCTATGTGTCTCTGGCCGCCTGGAATGATTTCTTGGAGTATGGGAATCTCACGCAGAGGCCCGAAAGGACATTTTGTACTGACTGGGGTCTGCTATCATGCCCTGAACATCAACAACAACGCAGAAATCCCGCAAAGGTGGCAGCAGTGCAAGATCCTCTCGAAGGAAGAGCAGTCAGTGGACACAGGCCTGCCCGTTGTGAAACTGTCCTCTCTAATTCTAAGCCACAGAACAACCCAAACCCCGGAACCCCCAAATCCTAGGCCTTCGCCTGCCCCTGGTCGTGTGGTTCCTGCTTCGGCTGCCCCACGCGGATTCTTTCGATGCCACTTGGCAGCGACAGCAGTCCTAATACTAAATCCCAAAACCGACTCCTGCAGCTTGCAGTCCAGGAGAAGCACACATGTGGTCGACTGCAACGACGGGCGATACATCTCTTGAGTCAAGCTGCTGAGCTTTCGGTGGAGAAATTGACAACCAATGTGCTGCCGCCCCTCTCCGCAGAACACGCATTCCATCCGGCGACCAAGCTCCTGAGCTGCAATTCTTCTGGGCGGGGGGCGGGTGGGGGAGTGGGAGGGCTCTTGGCTTTGGCTGAAAGCTGGTGTTCCATTGCGACCAGGGATGGCAGACGCCTGAAGCTGGAAAGCAAGCCGAAGTCGGAGCTGGCAATAGCCCGCTTCTTGTCACGTGGTGGTGGCTTCTGCAGCAGCCAGGCAGACGCAAGTTTGAAGGAGGTCGGGCTCGATGCTCTATGCCCCACGCATTACAACAGGACTGAATAATCTTATGAACCTGTTGAAATGACCGCAACTAGCATCAAAATCCTCCGTGTGCAACACATGATATCAGGACGACGGCCGACTTCGTGCACCGCTATCTTGTCAAGATACAGCACAAGACGGAGAAGGTTACCGAAACCGAAGCTTCCAACAAGCCCGCAACCCTCGCTTCTGTTTGCATCCAGGTTCTCGCGGACCTGCAGCACAAGTCCATCGCATTGATATGCGACGCTAGCCCCAAAGCGAAGCACGATGAGCCTAGGCTGCAAATCGGGGTGGCCCTCCAGCTTGCATTGGGACTACATATTGTGTTCACGGGGAGACTAAGGTGTGGCTTCCAGTGTTCGGGCTTCCGGATTGCCTGTGTGTGGGAACTTTGCAGCGACTGTCGACATTGCTGCCCAGTACTGCTACGGCATCGCAGAAGCTGGGAGCAGCAAGCTTGGTGGCCGAGAGCCACACGAAAGCAATGCTTGCCGAGTACACAACCAAACAAGAAAGAAAGAAGCTGTCCCTAACCTATACTTATGCACGATTGAATGTATTTCTTGCCCTTAGCACGAAATTCCGAAATCACGGATAACTCACCATGGTGACTCAGCCGAAGGCACTCAGCTCCCTCAGGGAAGATCGGCTGGCTGCGAAGCAGGAGCTGAAATCAGTGGCCAATGTGTTGTCGCACATCGGCCTCGATTTGGCCGAGGTGTTTCCAAGCTCCCGTTGTGCCCCCATAGATGCTGACAGCGAAGAGCGCCGACTGCACTGTGTCGGTGATATGCTGTATGGCTACGTGATCAACAAGTCGACGGGCGACGCCCGTTGGGACACCGTGGCCGAAGGATTGCGACTAGTCCTGTGCCCCGACCAAGGGAGTGCACTTTACGCGACGTATGAATACATGTGCCACTGCGGCGGATCTGTGAACCTCATACGCGATGAGTTGTAGCTCGGCGAGAATGTAATCAGCTCATTCTGTGGTGCTTCGTGTGACCCTTGAAGATCTTCATGTCTGAGGCACAAGATTAACAACCATATGGGACGTGTCACGTCGTGCAGCCCGGTGATCAAGAGATCCTCGGCCCTGGAAATCTGCCCGTTGCCTTGAGCCTTGTTTTGTTGTGTTGTTCTGTTTCTGCACATTCAATTCAAGCTGGTGTCCCCAAAATCAGGAATGACTCTCTTGAGCGGTTGGCTCTTCAGAGCCAAGAAGTCTCCTTGGGGGACAAGCAACTTTGCCTCCACACTGAAGGAGGCCGGAGAAAGGTACTTGGAAGCTGTGACTCAACCGAAAACTTGATACCATGGTTGTGCTTTACAAGTTGCTGGAACCGTTATGATGTCGGATGGATTACGACTAAGGCTCAGCAAGATGATTTCTTAATGGAGCTCTTCAGCAGGGACATCCTCAGGGAGAGACTAAGCTGCCTGATCCGTCATCGCATTTCTCAACTCTGAATCGCTTGTACGAGCCCCAATTGACAATGATGATCCATCCGAGGAACAGCCTGCCCTACACCTCCGATGCCAAGCTGAACTTCGAGAGGACGGTCGAAATCCTTGGCAAGACCATAAAGCCGCTGGGATGCAGGAGTTGATGGTTCATGTCGTGCCCTATATTTAGCAGTCTAGGTACAACAGCGAGTCGTTCTCGTGGTCCCGCTGGTGCTCGTGGGCACACACTTCTGCTACTTTCCAGATGTCGAGTACATTGCTGTTGATCCTCTGGAGCTCCCTTGAGGACGGGTTTGGTAGCTACAGTTTTGCTGCTGCTGCCAAGCTCCGTGCTCTGTAATTAATCTCCCAGAAACACACAGACACGCATATGCACCACGCACACAGACCCCCGCATGCACCCCACCCGCACACACACACACCAGAAGCCACGCACACACACACACACACACACACACACACACACACACACACACACACACACACACACACACACACACACACACACACACACACACACAGAAGCACACGCACACACTATACACACACACAAAAACACACACACACACGCACGCACAAACACACACACACACACACACACACACACACACTCCCACCCTCACACCTGCACCCACGCCGCCGCAAACACACACACACACACACACACTCTCTCTCTCTCTCTCTCTCTCTCTCTCTCTCTCTCTCTCTCTCTCTCTCTCTCTCTCTCTCTCTCTCTCTCTCTCTCTCTCTCTCTCTCTCTCTCTCTCTCTCTCTCTCTCTCTCTCTCTCTCTCTCTCTCTCTCTCTCTCTCTCTCTCTCTCTCTCTCTCTCTCTCTCTCTCTCTCTCTAGCTCAGGCTCTCTCTCTCTCTCTCTCTCTCTCACGCACACAAACACGGTTTCACAAGCACGTGTGCTCCGACACAGTCAATCTTGAACACCACACAGACATACGCAAGCTCATGCAACAGGTGGGCAAGAATCCGCTGAGCCTCGACGCCATCCAGCAGAAAGGTGAATCCAGTCAAGACAAAACCGTGCAAAAGTGTGTCAAGGCCTGCCTAGCCTGTTGCTCGCAACAAATCACAAGAAGCCCGACCCAGAACCTGCTTATTCTGCACTCTGGACAGGCTCTCATGGACGAGGAGCTTTTTGGGATCTTCCGCTTCGCCCGCAAAGTGGTCACTCCTTTCAAGGATATCTGCTTGGAGCTTGTGCTTCAGCTGCAGCAAGATTGGTGTACGCAGGCTGCCGAACGGAACCACAGCTGTAGTTGCATCTTCTGTCTGCAACTAAGCAAAGAGAGCAAAGCAAAAAGATGGCCCTGCACAAGTTCACGTTGCAAGCCAACACCAGCGACCTCGAGAACAAGATCTCGGCCCTCGCGACAGAGTGCCTCTCCTCGAAGGTGTTCGACATGCCGCCGGACGTGGCCATGAATGGGCAGGCCAGCATCTAATGATTTAATGAATCTTTCTTCTGACATAGCTGTGAAGTGTCTGAGTCTAGCCTAGCTTTTGACTCCGCTGCACTGCAGTCCTGCACTCCGGCAGGATAGATAATGAAGACTCCAACCCCTTAGCCCGCTACATAGCCTATTCGTGGACCCGAAACTGAGCACAAGTGCAACCAAGTGTAAATCTCAGGGCTCATCGGTCTGAGCTTTGGCATCAAGAATCAATGGTCAGCTAACTAGTAGTCTTCGAGGAATTACAATAATTACAGCTGTAGCTAGCATTCGACGCCGAAACCACTGGCCGATATGTGCACACGACTGATTGCTGCTGTTGGGCCGGCTGTTGGTCCTCAATGACTCAGTTGTGCAGACAACTGGAACTTAGGGTTCGAAATCCCGATTTCCATTCATCCGCTCGACAAAAGCACGATTCTACGAGAAACTGGGCATCACGATCATCATCGGGGAATCTACTAGCGAGAATTAAAAGCATCACGGGCCGAGCATTCTGAGCATCACAAATTGACAGTCTCAAGCTGTTGCACCCATCTTACCGCGAGGAGTTGAAAGTCAAGTTTCGCCGGAGCTCTACAGACGAGACGGTGCTGTCAGAAGCATTGGGGATGTTCTTGACTACAACGCAGGAGCTTCTTGAACACTTTCGATATCTTCGCAGCTCACCGTCGAAGGCCGCTGCCTTGATTTCACCGCAATCAGATGAAAACAGTGAGCAAACTAAGAAGCTCGTCCTGAGCCAGATGAAGTCCGAATGGGAACTGGTGCTGCGGCTGGAAGGCAATCCCGCTTCGGCTTGTGAGCTGCACGAGCACTGCAGGTACGTGACTTACCACTGCTTTCGGGAAGTGATGGCTGTGTGGGAGAAACACGCTTGGACAGTCCACCCAGAAGCCCTCAGCCTCACTTTGGCTTGGTTCCCGGAGTTCGCATGGTCATCGAATATCGAATCCTTGTTCAAGGAGATGACAGCAGCTGTGAAGCGGAGTGGCCAGAGTGATGTGGGCTCTCTTCCGAACCTGATGGCTGTGGCGATCAGGGGCCTCCACCGTCGTTTGTGCATCGGCGACGACAGCCCGCAGGCTTTGTCACTCGAGAAGGAGGATTGGTCTGGATCCCAAATTTCAGCACTCAAGACGAAGATCTTCAATCCTACGTCAGCCCCACCATGCGACACAACTGCAACTTTCTTTCACAGATCACATGGTCCTTCAGCAAGTCTCTCTCGGCAGGGTTGGTGCTCTCTCTGTTTGTTTTGCTTGGGAAGTGTGGTCACAATCGTGTTTGGCCAGTCGATTGCAAGGCCACAATCTGTCCTACGACAACATCAGCAAGCCATTCCCCTCTACCTCGGCTTTTCATCACTGCCATCATTCGCTGAACTACATGGCCGGGCTGATGCTTGCAGATTCGCTTCTTGCCAGGAACGCACAGACTCAGAGCAGCAGCAGACAGACAGACAGACAGACAGAGGCACAGGAGGGGGAGCCAGTGTGTTTGTGTGTGTGTTTGAGTCTGTGTGTCAGGGAGAGAGCGGGTGAGATAGTGGGCGAGTGAGTGAGTGAGTGTGTGAGCGACCGAGGGAGGAGGGAGCGAGCGAGCGATCTAGCGAGTGAGTGAGTGACAGTGAGTGACGACAAATACAAAAAGAGAGATTGAAAGAAGCGCCGGCACAATTTGAAGACAACAGTTTCTCAATAACAGCTGATATCGTCAAGGATGGAGCGAGATCCGATCGAGGAAATGCAATTCTTCTGGATGCCAGAGGTGATCTTTGCAAAGATGCTTTTTCGATTCGAGGGAACCTTTTTTCTGTCCTGCGGTCGAACACCGGGGATCCTGAACGCAGCTCGGCTTTTGAATTGTGATCCTCCAACCGCCTTAAACCGTGAACGCATGGGGTGTTTGTGTGCCCTTGACCCAAGTTTTGAAGCAGGGTGATATTCTGAGGCCCTGAAGCTGAAGGAGCTGCCGTTTTCCTTCAAAGGCCCCTTGCCTGCGAGGGAAGTGGATGAGACCAACATCCCGCTGGACGCCGCTGTGATGGCTGATCCCCTATCCATGAATCAGAGCACCCATGCATTGACTTTGGATGTTGGGAGGCGGGGTTCCGCTACAAGTTAAAAGCTTCGTTATTTCATGCGAGGTCTAATCCCTTGCAAACCTGGTTGCAGGAATTTCGTGCAGAAGCTGCTCTTGAGGCCTGATGAGGCAGCTCACGGATTCCGAAGTGTTGATTGCCAAGGGTATTGCATGTCGTTTCGTTGCTTCTAGCTAGCGAGTCAGCTAGTAGCGGGTCTTGCAGGTGCGATTCTTTGATTACAGCATTCACCTGGCTGAGCCTTCGTTGTCCGACAAGTGTGGTACCAGCCTCATCCTGCGACGGGGCATGAAAGATTTGTCATTGATGGGCTGGTTGGTGACAAGCGGAGACATCCTGAAGCTGACCGTCAAGAACTTGATGGACTTCATGGATTCACGGGGGACCCGCATGCCGAAGAACACCACGAAGGCACAACGCATCCGAAAGATTCTCTCGATGGACGACATTCAGCAAGAATGCGGTGAAAATGTGCTCAATGCGATCCTGAAGAAGCTGGAGCAGCAGGAAGAGAAGAGAAGAAAGAAAGACGAAACAGGAGCCGAGCCAGCCAAGGAGGAGGCACACAATTCATTCAATGTTCGCTTCAGGTTTTTGCTCCTCAAAGGACATTTTGGGAAAGTAACAGCCCTGATCAGGGAGAGATCCATTGGGAAGAGCTCGAAGAAGATGCTGCTACGGCTGCCTGCCGGCAGTTGCTTGGGCAGCAGGATGAAGAGGAGCAGGATGCTCCTGATGACGATGATGAGGCTTCTAAGTTGCATTTGTGATCCTCTCTTTCTTGCACCACCCCCGTATCTTCCAACAAGATTTCGCTGCATCTCAGGTGACCGGAGAAACCCCGGCCAATGGGGCTTCGAGGGATGAAAGAGGGGCGCCCCCTGATGCCCGAGCTTCCAGGGCCCTACTCTCCAACACGTGTGCCCTTCCGCCAGAGCTTGTGGAGAAGCTGCCTTTACCCGATGGAACAATGATGCATATGGTCATCCACAAGGATCGCACGCTACCTCACTTCCAGGGCAAGCTGTGCAATGGGGCGATTTTTGAGGGCAAGACTCTTGTCTGCTGCTAGTGAGAGTGAGCGAGACAGAGAGAGACCGAGACAGAGAGCGAGCGAGATTCAGCGGGAGTTATGATGAAAACACAATCCAAGGAATTCCTGTGCAGCCTCCTACAATCCCGAGCTACCTCCTCACGGATATGACTCTCGAAAAAAGACGCTGAAGGGCATTGCACCTCAGAAGAGGAATCGCGATCAGGCCTATTGGATCGTGTACAGTTGGCTGACAAATGCCACGACCAGCCAACGGGGGCGGGCCAGTAAGCGCAAGCGAACTGGCTGATGTTTCGTGTTCAGTGATTCGAGAACTCACATACTGGATAAAATAGATGTTTCATTAGATAAATAGTTGCGGGCGAACCTGCAGCAGCACGAAACATCGTCGGGGACCGTGGGGCATTCGGGGAGAAGAAAAAGCTGAGCGAGCACCCAAACCCGTTAGAAACACCCACTTTGAGCGGGCATGCGTATCGCAATCTCTGAAAAAAGGGTACATTTTTTGTTCCTAGGTTACTTTTGGGTCTAGCATTTAACTCCAAACGTATACCCCCAAGCTTTGGACCCCGAAACTTCAACACGAACGAAAGACGGGGGCCTTTAACATCCTAAACCCTCTAACTCCTAAACCTCAAACCACTACACCTGAAACTTGCAGCCAAAAAGAGTTGAGGGTTTAGGGTTTAGGGTTGAGAGTACCGTTGTTCTTGCCTTGCGGGGGCCGGCTGCATGGACTCCATGATACAGTAGGAGCCAGAAAGTTGGAACATGGATTTAGGAGGATTAGTGCTAGGATCTCTTATACTTTACCTTAAGGGCATGGGGATAATGATGTTCCAACTTTCTGGCTTCTACTGTAGAGTGCACAGCATGCCTGTTAGTACCGCACCCAGGGGCCGAGCCGAGGCTAGACTGGATATTCCTTAGAAGCTGCCCCCACCCTGTAATAGTGGTATAATAGGAATATAATAGGGCCCTAATATAATATGAATATAATCCTTATGGTCACTATTACAGGGTGGGGGCAGCTTCTAAGATATTCCTTTCACTCTTCACGGTGGGAATTGGCAATTCGTGTGTACCACACTGAATGGAGACTAGAAGCTCCAAACTCTCAACCCCCAAACCCAAACCCTCCCGAACCTTAAATGCCAAGGAAATCCGTGATCCCCACCCCGCAGCGGGCGGCGTCACCGAGTCCATCTCCACCTGGGCCCAACTTGCGACTTGGGTCTTACATCAAGAGGAGCCTTCATTGTTAGAATACTAAAAGCGCCGAAATAACTACTAATACTAGTTTTACTATTTTTGGGGGGCTCCTTAATATAACTATCGTACAATGGGCCCCAAAACCGTACTCTGATTATTAAGGCCCCGGCCCCTATATTACATCCTTATGATGGCCCTTATAGACACCTTTAAACGGAGCCCTATTCTAATTAGATTGAAGCCTTACAATAGCCCATAGACCCCTTTAAAGGCCTCCTCAAACGGATCCTTTACAGGGCTCCAACGGCCTTTCCCACAGGCCCCATACTAGTTCCTTCTTACTTCGGGGGTTCAAAAATCGAATCCTATAAGGTGATCCCAACAAGGAACTACCATGGGGCCTATGGATATGATTAGAAGAAGGTTTTTTGGGTGATTCTTATACTATCCTGAGAACAGGAACACCTAGGGCTTTGGGAAAGTTCATGATTGCCTTTGTTGGGCTTAAGAAGATCAGAGGCCCTGGACCCTTAAACTTAGACCTTAAGCGACATGTCCCCGACTGCCGCAACAAAATCGAAACTATACCGAACTCAGGCATCAGACGTTCAAGGAAACAAAATCGAAATCGTACCGAAATCAGGCATCAGACGTTCAAGCCGCATCGCAAGCTCGTGCGCCCGGCACCTCGGAAGCCTCAGTTGGACGCAAACATGGAAGACGTTTACAGGGTGTGTAGGGTTTAGGAGACTGTTCAAAGGTATCGGGCTTTACGACCTGAAAGTTTAAGACTATATCTATTTCGGGGTATAGATCGGATTTAGGGCTTGGGTTGATGGTTTTACCTGTGCCTCCTTTGCCCTCGAATTGATCCAGCAAGTTTCGGGAATAGGGGAAAAAGGTGTAGAGTCCTTAGGCTGCAGGCAGGGTTTAAAGCTCTCAGTGCAAACACATCAAAGCGGCGGCTACAGCATCAAAGCCTGTGACGCGCCGTCACTCCCAGACTCCCAAGACAAAGCCTGACATAACATGTCATAACTGTTATAATACTGTATGCCGGCCCCTACTTACAGGACTCTTCCGTGTGGAGCGCTCAAGCTTCGACCTTCGGTTGACTCAAGCAGTAAAGCCTTTCAAGGCCTCGGGTATATTGTAGGCAATCAAAGCCACGTGAAGTAGGTGCCTGAACCAACAATATCATTATTCTTTTATCGTATCTACATTTTCGTTCCCTGATAGCTAGTCTTGTTTCCCTCGTAGGATGTACCGAAGGCTTCTGAATCATTCTGAAAATGAAAGTATATGCCTTTTTTCCACAGTTACTTCACAACCCAGAATACAGTCCAAGGATTGCTCAACCCATATGAGATGGATTGTATGGCAAGTATTTGAATAGCTTTGTCACTCATTAGTCCAAATGGTAAGTTAGGGGAATCATTGCTAGCACTATTCCTTCCAGTTCGTCAATATATTTCTCCGACAAACTTTCCCCGAAACCTTGTTCTAATTAGCAAGGCCCCATATCTCGAGATGAGGTTGCTCACATCGCGACCGATGCCCCCTACGCCTGGGGCGAAGCAAGAACTGCGTGGCGTGGTTAAACTGTTCGGATATAGTTTTTAGAGGCTCTAGTGTGTTCATTCAGAGTTATGAACTTACGCATGGTCTCCATTGTGGTTCCTTTTTTGGTTTCGCCCAGTATATGCTTAAGATCCTATAACGTAAACGGAACTGTAACCCCTTCAAAGGAGCTACAATGGAGACTCTAGGTAGGGTTTCGGGTTTCGAGTTAAATGAAGGGTCCAAGCACCCAATCTTCAAGTGCTGTACTAAGCGGTTGGCGGCCAGGAAACACTGCTATGCACATGAAGTTTGCCAAGGTGCCGCCAAAAGATGACTAGGCATGACGTTTAGTTAGTATCCTCGATGAGTGCGACAAAAGTGCCAGATATTCAACTGTTCAGCAAAAGTCGTGCTCCCCACCCTGAGGCCTTGAAGCCCTAGCCCACTTTCTTCCCGGAGCCCTGAGCCCTAAAGCCCCTGGGTTTTCTAATTATCAAGCCCTGGGGCCCGTCCATAATAGAATCCCGAAGGCTTGTATTCTTGAACCCTTGCAGACCCCTTTTGGAGAACCCCTCAAAGGAGACCACCCTCTATGGAAAACTCTGGTGGTAACCTTATAGTCCCCTTTATGGTAACCTTATGGTCCACTTTTGGTAACCCTATATTGCCCTTGCAGTAATGTTATAGTCCCCTTCTGGTAATCTTATATCCCTAAAAGTACCCTGACGCCATTGCACTTAAAAAACAAAAGTACCCTGAAGGTAGCTCCCGAGAAACCTCCCGAGCCCAGGAGAAGTCCTTCTCCCTCCTGTCCTGCCTCTCCGGTCACGGCGCATCGCTCGCCGCGCTCCGCGCGCTCGCCGTCCCCGGTGGCCGCCGCCGCGGCGCCACGAGCACCCAGCAGGCGCCCCGGGTTTCGGGCAGCGTAGAATAAGAGTATTCTATAACGTATTTCGGAGTATTTAGGGTACACAAGATATTAGGGAACATATTAGGGTACAATAGAGGCTTTCGACAAGAGGATGAGAGTACAAGCTTGGAGGGTAGAACTTTGCGGGCTTTTCTTGGGATTTGGTTGATTGGGATATACCAGGTTACTTTGACGGCGACGCTGAGGGGCAAGACGCAAGGCTACTGTCTGGGCTTTAGGGGTTTCGGGGTTTAGGGTAAACCCCTTCAAGACCCTAAGGGGTCAAGGGCTTGGGGTTTAGAAACCTCAAACCCGTTGAAAAAAACAACCTAAAGGATTTAGGGTTTAGAAGCCTTAAACTCCTCAAAAACCCTAAAACTCCCGCAAAAAACCCTAAAATACCTAGGCCCTCGTCTTTGTGCGCTCGCCATCCCCCCCCCCGGCTCTGCAGGAAAGATTACTACGAGCTCCGAGCCGGAGGCAAGGAGTACTTCGATCTGAAGGCTCCTGGGCTCCACCATCCGAAGGGTACTAGAAGGTTACCATAAGGGGACTATAAGGGTAGAGTTACCTTAAGGGCACCATAAGGGTAGTATAAGGTTACCATAAGGAGCATATCGATCTCAAGGCTCCTGGGCTCCACCGTCAGAAGGGTACTCAAAAAGGGTTACCATACTAAAGGGACTACCATACTAAGGGTACTAGAAGGTTACCAAAAGGAGCAATAATAAGTTCTTTTAAAGGGGTACTCTATAAGGGTTACCACAAGGGTAGTATAAGGTTACCATAAGATATACTTTATATAAGTCCTTTAAAAAGGTAGGGTTTAGGGTACTCTATACCTGGACCGTAAGGAACGTACCTTTTTTAAGGTTCCCAAATATGGGGTACTCTATAAGGTTACCATAAGATTACTTTATATAAGTCCTTTAAAAAGGTACCTGGACCCTAAGGAACGTACCTTTTTTAGGGGTTCCCAAATATGATTACTTTATATGAGTCCTTAAAAAGGTAGGCTACGTGGGGTTAAG